GGCGCCAAACCACTGCGCCACCCAGGGATCCCTAAACATACTTTTATATAAAAGTGGAACATATTAATGCAAATACCGTAAAGTGAATAATAAATTAATATAAATAAATATATACATAAACAGCTAATAAAATGAGGCTCAGCCACAGGGCACCATTTACATTTTCATCAATTCTGAAAATAGTTGGGCATAGATACGCTTAATATCACTGATAAAAATTTGCCAAATGTGATTCAAATTATTTTATAACTAAATTAAAATATAACAGTTTTGGAAATGAGTGAAGGATTAAGAGTCTGAGCTACGATATTAGCATTGCGAATCACGTTCCTATTAATTCCTGAGTTTTCTTGAGCTTATTAGTGAAGATTTCCACTGTGATCGCGTCCCCCCTGCAGTCGCCCTGCTGCTTCCCTGGCAGGGAGAGACGCAGGTAGAGACGCAGGTCCCAGAAGGGCCTCTTGGGGCCGGGTGGGGCCTGCGCTCCCGCGCCCCCGCCTGCAGCCCACAGCCCACAGGCGCCCAGCGCTGCCAGCTGCCGGGGAGGCCGGAGCGCGGTGCGTCCCGGGGGTGCCTCCAGGGCCCGGGGCGCGGCTGCGGAGGCTGAGGGAGCAGCGCGTGCAGGACCCGGGCGGTGGGCCCCGGGGAGCCGGCTGCCAATCCAGCTGATTCTGGGGGAATCTGAAGTCTTTCCTGTACTTCAGACAGGAAGGAGAGCTTGTCCCCAGCTGGGTCTCCTGCTTTCCTGAGTCAAAGCTCTGAGACAGGTCACAGCTTAAGGGAGGTCTTGGGGTGGGAAAAGATCATCGCCAGTGCCATCAAGTGAAGAAAGTGAAAAAGCTGTTTGTAAATTCCAAGAAGTCCTTCTGGTGGAGATGGTGAGCTTTCGTCCAGCTTCTCTGAAAGTCTCCTATGAATCTTAGATATTGAATGAAAAGTTTTCATTTTCTGAATTTCCCTCAGAACTTTGTAATTCCCCATTTGAGGCTTGACTTCCTCATCGAAGGTCTGGAAGGTTGTCATTAGTTTCAACTCTTTCTGCATTCTTATAATTGAAGTAAAATTTATTCACTAAAAAATCAGAAGTCCTACTTCAATGGAATGCTTATCATCTTAACAAAAACCAACTTTGAACTAATGATAGAGCTATCTGGATCTTCTTTCTTAGTGATAAGAACAGGTTTTAAGGAAGCTTTACTAGGCTTCCTTTTAAAATCTTCTTTCTTGGGGATCTCTGGGTGGCTCAGCGGTTTGGCGCCTGCCTTTGGCCCAGGACGCAGTCCTGGAGTCCGGTGTCGGGATCCCGGCATGGAGCCTTCTTCTCCCTCTGCCTGTGTCTCTGCCTCTCTCTCTCTATCTATCTATGTCTATCATGAATAAATAAATGGGTAAATCTTTTTTTTAAAAAATAAAATGAAATAAAATCTTCCTTCCTCCTCCAGATACCTCTCCTGGAAGTGTTCATCAGGTGTGAAAGATAACCTGATTTGTATATGCATGGATCTCATTTTATTCTCTGCTGTAAAACATTTAGTTTGTCACATTTAGTTTTAACTCTGCTTAATTGAGAGAATTACTGAATATTTACTATATGCCAGTTATTACACTGAGCTCAGGCTATACCAAGATGATTAAACTTCTAATCTTGCCCATAAAAAAAGTAAAGTGCAACCTCTATTATGGTACAGGTGATGTTAGAATATGGATTTGGAGAGCTTCTTTGTGCTAGCCCCGACCATTGTCTTAGCTCTGATGAACTAATGGTTAAACCACCCTTGCTTTTCTTTGCTATTTTTACACAATTATAAAATTGTTGCCTTTTCTTTTGTATTTGTTTTTTCTCTTTGAAAAAGTGATCCTAATGCTCTCCACAATCTTTTCTATTTCCACTTTGAGATTTGTTGCAAAACAAAAAGGGAAAATGTAAGAGAAATGAAAAGGTCACATTTCCTCTATAATTTTCAAGACATCAGAACTTTCCTCTCTCTTTTTAACATTCTTAGAGAGTAAAGAGAGGCAGTTACAAACACGTAATGCACAAAAGGCAAATGGAAAGTAGATGGTGAAAATGAAAGGAAAAAAAGTGACGTCTTCTCTGTCCAGATGATGAAAGGGATTACGAGCTCTCCAGAGTGGCAGATTCAGACCAGCCTGTGTGAGACAAGTCCCTACGGAGGGCAGCTGGCTCTTTAAGGCAGGCTGTTACCTAAAGGGCTGGCTAGTTTTCAGCTCTGCTGAATCAAAGAACCCATCTATCTAGCTATTTTTCTGTTTACTTTTTTTCACTATCCAGAGAGATCAGATTCCAAGTATTTAGTCATACCAACTCATGCCCCAAAGAGACTGGGTTAGAGATGAGGCAGCCATTTTATTAATGTATAAGAGGTCAGCTACTACCCAGAAGCTAAAAGATGTTAGTCGTTTGATGGAGCACTCCCTGTCACATAAACACATGCTCACATTCACATAAGAGATGAGATTAGGAATAAAAATGTTTATTAGTGAAAATAGTGAAAGGGAATAAAGGGGAAAGGAGAGAAAATGAGTGGGAAACATCAGAGAGGGTGACGGAACATGAGAGACTCCTAACTCTGGAAACGAACAAGAGGTAGTGGAAGGGGAGGTGGGCGGGGGGTGGGGGTGACTGGGTGACGGGCACTGAGGGGGGCACTTGATGGGATGAGCACTGGGTGTTATGCTATATGTTGGCAAATTGAACTCCAATAAAAATAAATTTTAAAAAAACGTTTATTAGTGAGCTGAGAAGGAAGGGAAGGGAAGCAGATCACGTCACGGAAAGTTCCATCGAGTTCTCACATTTGGATGGGATAGTTTTCTCCATTGTGGGAATGACTAACAGATGTTGAGTGCTTAAAAATAAGCACAGGCCTTCTTGGATGTACATGACATCATCCTGTCTTCACAACAACCCAGTGAAGTAGATATGATTATCATTACCGTACGACAGAGAAGAAATATGAGGAGCCCAAGGTCACACACTAGTACAGAGGCTGGAGCTATGACCTGAAGCCTGACAGTCTGGCCTCAGTCACCAGACTGGGCCTTCTCAGTCAGGTGATGATGTTCTTCCTGTCTTAGATAACACTTAGCAAGTTCTTACTCTTCAGTTGCCATTCTTAGTGACAAAATAGCACCACTCGGGGTGCCTGGAGATGGAGTTGGTAAAGCATCAGACTCTTGGTTTTGACTCAGGTCATGATCTCCTGGGTCTTGGGATCCAGACCCATGTCAGGCTCCATGCCCAGAGCAGAGTCTGCTTGAGTTTCTCTCTCCCTCTCCCTCCTCCTCTCCCCACTGCTCACTTGCTCTCTCTATATAAAATAAGTAAATAAGACTTTTTAAAGAAGCATCATTCGCTTATTCCAGAGACTGCAATAAATACACTTGAAGAGGATAAAACTGCCTTTTCCCTTGCTAAGTTCCAGTTCTGTCTTTCAAATGTTTTGTTCATCTCTACTGGATCTTTGAAACGTCCTGTCCCCATCTGAAATATTTTCAGGAATTATCCTGGAGGTTAAAGCATCCATTTTAAGTAGGTATCACCTGAGTTGGTTTTAAACTGACTGAAGATATTGTTTGGAAAAGTTATTCTTACTATCCCTGTGTTCAGAAGACCATCATTTTCTGACACAGTCCCCAAAGTTTAGGCCTACTCACTTTTGGGAAAATGTCATCCTTTTTGTATTTGCTATGGGACAGAAGGCTCTCTGTGTGGCTCCTCTGTGACAGACATTCAAAACACACATTACTGCCCACAGGGAGCTGTCATTCTATCAGAGCAGTCAAATATTAAACAAATAATTAAACTGATTACTTAATTACACGCAAATGGAATGTAGCCAAAGGAGAATGCTTAAGATTAAGAAGAAGTAATATGGAGGCAGAACAGTATAGTGGTGAAATGCCACTTATATTGTGGCTTTCAGCAAGTTAAGTACGTCTCTGAGTTTTTGATTTCCTTATTTGCAAAATATAAATAATTATAGTAATTATATCATAGGGATGCTGTGAAAATTAAATGAAATACGGTTCATAAAACACCGTGCTGAGAGCTTACATATAATTTGAAGATTGCTGCCACTAATATTATTAAAGCAATCCTTGTATTACAGATTCAATGAAGACATATCAAGATAAGTTTTGAATACTATCATAGCCCTATTAGCCCTGAGTAAAGGGTAGGATATCACTTGTCAGTGGAATATCTAAGGATATGAGATTATCTGGATTACCACATAATAACTAAGGCAAAGTTTTTACTGTGAAAGGTACATTGTAGAGAACCAAGAGAATCACACACATGCAAATTGAATCTTTTCGGGAAACCAGTGCCTAGCGAAATGCTTAGCAGATCATAATTTTTTGACAAATGATATCTGCAATATTGTTTTCCAAACAATATCTTCAGTGACCAACTCAAGTAGTATCTTTAAGGTACATATACAACTGAAATTTTTAAAGAATGGGGGAGGGAAAAGTGTAAATAAGAGAAAAATAAGAAAAATTTAAATCTCCTGTTGTATAAGCTTTTTTGTATTTCCTGCTTATCTGCAAAGACCATCATTTCTTACATAAATATTTCTCCCTTTTCTGAGTTTGTCTAGGCTTTTCTTCCCAAGAACAATCTGGGAGGTGTGAAAAATATGAAAAACTATGTTATAATATTGGGTAAATACTGCATTAGCACACATGGTTGGAGTCCCCCACTAGGTGCTCATGTCAATAAATGTACATTTTTAAATTGACTTTGTAAAAAAAATTGAAATTGAAAGAAAAGGGCAAAAATAGAAAAACCCCCAAAATGGAAGTTTCTATGGTCAATATTTAAAAGGCATTCATCACTCAAAGTTCTCAGAACATACTGAGACTTCTTCAGGCAGTCTTGCAGAATCTCCTCTGACTTCTGTTTTTTTTTAGTATAAGTGTTGCCAAAATGAGCACTCCCCTCTGGCTCCTGAACGGCCTCCTCATTCTCTGTGCTTCTGGCCCTGGTGATGTTGAGCTCCAGCCCTGCCTGCTCTCTGGACTACAACCTGCATTTCAGCCATGGCAATCCAGAAACCTTCACACTTTTGAGTCAAATGGGGAGAATCTCCATTCTGTCCTGTCTGAAGGATATGACTGACTTCAGCTTTCCTTGGATGCTTGCCGTTGGGAACAAATTTGAGAAGACAGAAGCCACAGCGGTCATACATGAGATGCTCCAGCAGATCTTCAACCTTTTCAGCAAAAGTGGCTCTCTTCTGGCTTGGGATGAGACCCTTCTAGACAAATTCCTCACTGGACTTTATCAGCAGCTGGATGACCTGCAGACATGTTTGGGGGAGGAAAAAACGTGGAACAGTTACCCCTGGAAAGTGAGAACTCCATACGGGCTGTGAAGAGATACTTCCATGGAATCAGTCTCTATCTTAAAGAGAAAGAATACAGCCACTGTGCCTGGAAGGTTGTAAGGGTGGAAACCAAAAAGTGCTTGTTCTTCATTAACAAGCTTACAGAGAAACTCAGGAAATAAAAAAGATGTCGAGTCTGAAAACTCATCTGGTCGACTAAATGGCTATTCTCTAGGACTCAAAGTGCAATTTTATCTCTATCTTTATACCAGAAGAAAAATAAATAATAGCAAATGTATGAGATTATTATAAAGTTATGTTAAATGTTGTAAGTTGTTTAGAATAGAGAAATGCACAATTCATTAACAATAGCTTAAAATCTTTTGTACTTTTTATTTGCATAAGTTATATGAAACATTTGTGCTGTTCATACTACTTAAGTATTTATTGTTCACAAACCACTTGTTTAGCATTATGTTTTGAATACAACTACTGATCATTTTTAAGTTACGGGAAATAAAAGCAATTATTAAAAAAAAATTTGCTCACACACACTTTCTGAATAAAAAACTAACCCAAAGCCTGAAATCTCACAAAATAAACCTCCAGAAGGTTCCTGAATGAAAGGTAATAGAGAGCCCAACATGGCAAGTGGAAAAACCAATGCTAACATTCATATGGAATTGCAAGTGACTTCAAATTGCCAAAACAATCCTGAAAAATAAGAACAAAGTTGGAAGGCTCAAATTCCTGATTTCAAAACATACTACAAACTACAGTTATCAAAACTTGGGATATTGGCATAAGAGTAGACATATAGACCAATAGAATAGAATTGAGAACCCAGAAACAATCCTATGTATCTACAGTTACTTGATTTTTGACAAGGGTCTTGAGACACTTTAATGAGGAAAGAATAGTATCTTCAAAAAATGGTCCTGGGAAAACTGGATATTCCACTGCAAAAGAAGGAATTTGGAGCCCAACCTCACACCATACAGGAAAAAAAAAATCCAAAATAGATCAAAGGCCTAAATATAAGAGCTAAATCTAAATCTAAAAAACCCTTAGAGAAAAACAGAGATAAATCTTAAATGACATTAGATTTCCCAATGATTTCTTAGGTAAAACACTAAAAGTGTAAGTAAGAAAAAAATAGATAAATTGAACTTCATCAAAATTAAAACTTTTGAGCCCAGATGTCCATTGACATATAAATGGATAAGGAAGATATATATATAAAATATCTATCTATCTATAATGGACTAATACTCACTTATCACACATGCATAAAGAAGCACAACAGCTGCAGAAAGGAGAAGCACAAAAGGAGAAGCTGAGGCAGAAGAGGCAGCAGGATCAGCAGGGACTGAACAAGGGGGAAGCAGAAGTGGGGACAGAATGCGTAAGAGAAACAACAGCTGCAGAAAGGAGAAGCACAGGAAAAGGGAGAAGCTGAGGCAGAAGAGGCAACACGATCAGCAGGGACTGGACCAGGGGAAGTTGAGGTGGTAACAGAATGCATAAGAGAAACAACAGCTGCAGAAGGGAGAAGCACAAAAGGAGAAGCTGAGACAGAAGAGGCAGCAGGATCAGCAGGGACTGGACCAGGGGAAGTTGAGGTGGTAACAGAATGCATAGGAGAAACAACAGCTGCAGAAAGGAGAAGCACAAAAGGAGAAGCTGAGGCAGAAGAGGCAGCAGGATCAGCAGGGACTGAACAAGGGGGAAGCAGAAGTGGGGACAGAATGCGTAAGAGAAACAACAGCTGCAGAAAGGAGAAGCACAGGAAAAGGGAGAAGCTGAGGCAGAAGAGGCAACACGATCAGCAGGGACTGGACCAGGGGAAGTTGAGGTGGTAACAGAATGCATAAGAGAAACAACAGCTGCAGAAGGGAGAAGCACAGGAAAAGGGAGAAGCTGAGGCAGAAGAGGCAGCAGGATCAGCAGGGACTGAACAAGGGGGAAGCAGAGGTGGGAACAGAATGCGTAAGAGAAACAACAGCTGCAGAAAGGAGAAGCACAGGAAAAGGGAGAAGCTGAGGCAGAAGAGGCAACACGATCAGCAGGGACTGGACCAGGGGAAGTTGAGGTGGTAACAGAATGCATAAGAGAAACAACAGCTGCAGAAGGGAGAAGCACAGGAAAAGGGAGAAGCTGAGGCAGAAGAGGCAACACGATCAGCAGGGACTGAACAAGGGGGAAGCAGAGGTGGGGACAGAATGCGTAAGAGAAACAACAGCTGCAGAAAGGAGAAGCACAGGAAAAGGGAGAAGCTGAGGCAGAAGAGGCAGCAGGATCAGCAGGGACTGAACAAGGGGGAAGCAGAGGTGGGGACAGAATGCGTAAGAGAAACAACAGCTGCAGAAGGGAGAAGCACAAAAGGAGAAGCTGAGGCAGAAGAGGCAGCAGGATCAGCAGGGACTGAACAAGGGGGAAGCAGAGGTGGGGACAGAATGCGTAAGAGAAACAACAGCTGCAGAAAGGAGAAGCACAGGAAAAGGGAGAAGCTGAGGCAGAAGAGGCAACACGATCAGCAGGGACTGAAAAAGGGGAAGCAGAGGTGGGGACAGAATGCGTAAGAGAAACAACAGCTGCAGAAAGGAGAAGCACAGGAAAAGGGAGAAGCTGAGGCAGAAGAGGCAACACGATCAGCAGGGACTGAACAAGAGGGAAGCAGAGGTGGAGACAGAATGCGTAAGAGAAACAACAGCTGCAGAAAGGGGAAGCATAGGAAAAGGGAGAAGCTGAGGCAGAAGAGGCAACACGATCAGCAGGGACTGGACCAGGGGAAGTTGAGGTGGTAACAGAATGCATAAGAGAAACAACAGCTACAGAAGGGAGAAGCACAAAAGGAGAAGCTGAGGCAGAAGAGGCAGCAGGATCAGCAGGGACTGAACAAGGGGGAAGCAGAGTTGGGGACAGAATGCGTAAGAGAAACAACAGCTGCAGAAGGGAGAAGCACAAAAGGAGAAGCTGAGGCAGAAGAGGCAGCAGGATCAGCAGGGACTGGACCAGGGGAAGTTGAGGTGGTAACAGAATGCATAAGAGAAACAACAGCTGCAGAAAGGGGAAGCATAGGAAAAGGGAGAAGCTGAGGCAGAAGAGGCAACACGATCAGCAGGGACTGAACAAGGGGGAAGCAGAAGTGGGGACAGAATGCGTAAGAGAAACAACAGCTGCAGAAAGAGAAGCACAGGAAAAGGGAGAAGCTGAGGCAGAAGAGGCAACACGATCAGCAGGGACTGGACCAGGGGAAGTTGAGGTGGTAACAGAATGCATAGGAGAAACAACAGCTGCAGAAAGGAGAAGCACAAAAGGAGAAGCTGAGGCAGAAGAGGCAGCAGGATCAGCAGGGACTGAACAAGGGGGAAGCAGAAGTGGGGACAGAGTGCGTAAGAGAAACAACAGCTGCAGAAAGGAGAAGCACAGGAAAAGGGAGAAGCTGAGGCAGAAGAGGCAACACGATCAGCAGGGACTGAACAAAAGGGAAGCAGAGGTGGGGACAGAATGCATAGGAGAAACAACAGCTGCAGAAACGAGAAGCACAAAAGGAGAAGCTGAGGCAGAAGAGGCAGCAGGATCAGCAGGGACTGAACAAGGGGAAGCAGAGGTGGGAACAGAATGCGTAAGAGAAACAACAGCTGCAGAAAGGGGAAGCATAGGAAAAGGGAGAAGCTGAGGCAGAAGAGGCAACACGATCAGCAGGGACTGGACCAGGGGAAGTTGAGGTGGTAACAGAATGCATAAGAGAAACAACAGCTGCAGAAGGGAGAAGCACAGGAAAAGGGAGAAGCTGAGGCATATGAGGCAACACGATCAGCAGGGACTGAAAAAGGGGAAGCAGAGGTGGGGACAGAATGCGTAAGAGAAACAACAGCTGCAGAAAGGAGAAGCACAGGAAAAGGGAGAAGCTGAGGCAGAAGAGGCAACACGATCAGCAGGGACTGAACAAGGGGGAAGCAGAGGTGGGGACAGAATGCGTAAGAGAAACAACAGCTGCAGAAGGGAGAAGCACAGGAAAAGGGAGAAGCTGAGGCAGAAGAGGCAACAGGATCAGCAGGGACTGGACCAGGGGAAGTTGAGGTGGTAACAGAATGCATAAGAGAAACAACAGCTGCAGAAAGGGGAAGCATAGGAAAAGGGAGAAGCTGAGGCAGAAGAGGCAACACGATCAGCAGGGACTGGACCAGGGGAAGCAGAGGTGGGGACAGAATGCGTAAGGGAAACAACAGCTGCAGAAAGGGGAAGCACAGGAAAAGGGAGAAGCTGAGGCAGAAGAGGCAACACGATCAGCAGGGACTGAACAAGAGGGAAGCAGAGGTGGTGACAGAATGCGTAAGAGAAACAACAGCTGCAGAAAGGGGAAGCACAGGAAAAGGGAGAAGCTGAGGCAGAAGAGGCAACACGATCAGCAGGGACTGGACCAGGGGAAGCAGAGGTGGTGACAGAATGCGTAAGAGAAACAACAGCTGCAGAAGGGAGAAGCACAGGAAAAGGGAGAAGCTGAGGCAGAAGAGGCAGCAGGATCAGCAGGGACTGAACAAGAGGGAAGCAGAGGTGGGGACAGAATGCGTAAGAGAAACAACAGCTGCAGAAGGGAGAAGCACAGGAAAAGGGAGAAGCTGAGGCAGAAGAGGCAACACGATCAGCAGGGACTGGACCAGGGGAAGCAGAGGTGGTGACAGAATGCGTAAGAGAAACAACAGCTGCAGAAAGGGGAAGCACAGGAAAAGGGAGAAGCTGAGGCAGAAGAGGCAACACGATCAGCAGGGACTAAACAAGGGGAAGCAGAGGTGGGGACAGAATGCGTAAGGAAACAACAGCTGCAGAAAGGAGAAGCATAGGCAATGAGGAGAAGCAGAATAGCTCAATCAGCAGATGCTACATATGGAGAAGGAGAAGCACGGGTAGAGCTTCTCTAGAGATAATACACAAATGACCAATAAAGATGTGAAAAGATGCTGACATCACTAATCATTAGAGAAATGCAGATCAAACCACAATGAGATAATACCTCACATCCATTAGGATGGCTACTGTTTTTTTAAAAAGGAAAGAAAAAGAAAATAAACAAGTGTTGGTAAAGATGTGGAGAAACTGGGCCGCTCGTGTACTGTTGGTGGTATCAGAATGGTAGAACTGCTATGAAAAACAGTATGGTGGCTCCTTCAAAAACTAA